TCTCTGTTGGTAGCTGACCGGAGGCGGAAATGCAGTGGTACCGGGTGACCTGAACCGGTCTGGCGAGGAAAGTCACTGGGCTGTCAGCTATTGGTCAGTGCCAAATTCCCAGGTACTGGCGCTTGTCGCAGAGGGGGAGTGGCTCTCTATGTCTCTCTGCTACAGGCTCGGAGGCTGCGTGCAGAAGGCGCTGGCCAGGGGGACGGGGCGCTCCACCAGACTGCCCAACTCCCCAGCGCTTTCAGCCTCCGTAGGCGTCCTCCCCCAACAGGCAAGGAGGCACTCAGAATTCAGAGGAGGCACTCAGCATTCACTGGTCAAAGAAATGGGCCCAGCCAAGTGACCCCAGGTCCCGGAAGGGCAGAGCTAGCTGCGAGAGTTCCCAGGCTGGGGGAAGGGAGCCGTTCCGCACCCGCGACCTGCCGTGGGCCCCGACCTGGCGCTCGCCGGTCCCCAGTGCGCTGGCTCCGGAGGGAGCCGCTCAGAGGCTGGGAGGTATCCGATCAGGGAGTCAATCGCGTCACCAGGGTGCTCCGCCGTCTCCTTTGTGTCTCCCTCCCCCAATCTCACGCCAGTCCCGCAATAGCTCTTGCTTCTACTGGCCCACCCTGGGCAGTCTCAGTCGCCAGCGGCAGTTTCCAGGTTAGAGTCCTCTACTCAGTAATCACCTCCTCGTTCCAACCCGCTGGGTGCCAGAGACCAGCTTCCTGAGTCCTAACTGCCTCCAGCGGTAGCCCAGCCCAGCTCCTCCCCTGTCCGGTGCAGTCCTGACACGGAGCTCCGGGAAGTTCAAGATGCTTCCCGTTCCTGTCTCGTCTCCGCTGAGACCCACTTTTCCAGACCCAGTTCTACATCCACAAGCGCCTGCCTCTCGGTGGGCTTGTAAGTCAGTGGGGAAACTACACTGCCTCGCGAGGGACTTGTCCCGTGCACTTACTGGCCAGGCTGGCGGGGCCGTTTCGCGCTCCACTCTCTATTGTCTGTCGGCGCTTTCCAGGTTTTATATTCCTATCTCCCATTCGCTTTATTCTTTTTCCTGATGTGCGTGTCCCCCGCTGAATCTCCACCAGTTCACCACGCTGTTTTCGCAGGAGAGTGATCCGATCGTGTGTAGCAGACCGAGATCTACCTCTCCCTCTCTGGAACCAGGGATTCGGGAGGCTACCCTAACTCTACCATTTTTCCTCCCCCCTTATTGACAATTTTTATACCTTCCTTGAAAAAATGTCTGTTTTGCTCCTTTGCCTGTTTTTGAATTGTGGTGTTTGTTTTTTTGCTGTATTTGAGGTGTCAACGTTCTTTATATATTCTGGATACTAGACTCATAGATATATGATTTGCAAATATTTTCTCCCATTGTCTGAGTTTTCACTTTTTCACAATGTCTTTTGATGCACAAAAATTTTTAATTTTCATAAACTCCAATTTATCTATTTTTTCTTTGTTGCTTATACTTTGGTGTCATATTTAAGAATCCATTGCAAAAACCAAGGTCATGAAGATTTACCACTATATTTTCTTTAAAGGTTTTTATAGTTTAAGCTTTTACATTTAAATCTTTGATATATTTTGAGTTAATATTCATTTATTGTGTGGGGTAGAGGTCCAGCTTCATTATTTTGCATGTGGATATCCAATTGTCCAATCACCAATTATTGAAGACTATTCTCTCCCCATTCAGTAGTCTTGGCAGCCTTATCAAAAACCAGTTGACCATAGATGTGTGAGTTTATTTCTGAACTTTAAATTCTATTCCACTTTTAATATTTGAAAACCAGTGTCTTGGTACTAGGTGTGCTCATAGCTACTGCGGTATCACTTCTAGTCCCTCTTGTTGGACAAAGCTAGGAAATGTATGTATGTATACACACACTCATCTATATCTGTGTATATATATTTTTTCCTTTGAAAAATATTTCATATTAGTACTTCCAATTTCAAACCAACACTATGGGGTTCATTTTACCCTTACCCCTTTTTAATGTCTATAAATTATTTCTCTGACACTGAGAAACCTAGCTCCCATTTTCCTCAACATATTTACTTATTTACTCAGTTTACTTATTTGCTTAATGTAACAGATTACTGGCTGCCTCCTCACTAGAGGGCATTGACAGAACACGATTTTCACTAGATCTTTCCCTCCCACCCCCATGGTCCCACAAGGCTGGGAATTCTGATGCCTTCATGCAGTAATCCCAGTCCTGCTTCCTCAACCATTAGGCACTTTGATACCTCCCTGAACCCCTCACCCCCACCACACATGCCTACTCTACAAATTACAACTCTGATTATCAGGTTAGAAAAATAATTTCAAATTGCTATAACTCTATCAATATAAGTAGTTCAAAAAGTGATGGAGAGAGAAGATGTTAAAGATATCTGTTTGGTTTCTGGTTTGTGCAAATGGATATTCAATTCACTGAGGTAAGAAATACTGGAAGGGAATATAGTTTAGACTGAAAAATCATGAGTTCAGATTTAGATGTATTGAGTTTGATGTGCCATTAAGACAGCCAAGTGGAAATGTCCAGTACGCAGGTGGAAATGAAAGTCTGGAGTTCAGACAGAGGTGTGGATGGAGATACAGATTTATTTGTCTGTCAACTGCATACACGTAAGCAAAGATAAAAAAATCCTATGAATGAATTCAAGAAAGAATAGCCAGAGAAGAAAATAAACCAGAAAGGAATAGACTACCAGATACAGAGAGGCAGATTTCAAAGAGGAGTGACCAACTGTGTCAACATTGAGAGGTTCATTAAGAACAGGGAATACATCTATGGACTTTCACTATGTGGAGGTCATTGGTGACTTGGCAGGAGTGGTTTCAATGAAGTGATGCGGGCAGATGTCAGAATGCAATGAGTTAACTGTATAGGAGATAAGAAAATAGAGAGAGAACAAGTATGTATTGTTCCCATGAGAGTCTTGGCTATGACTGAAAATAAAGAATCTGGTATACACAAAGGGGTACAGAGTTATGTGTGGAATGCAATATTTTGTGTAAAGGTAAGCCAAATTGGTACAGCTGGGAAAATGATGATATGTCTTGTTCACATCGCTGTTCCTTGTGATGCTCAATACTTTTAAAGACTGACCACTGAGCTAAAAGGAACCTAGGTGGTCATCTACTCTAATCTTCATTTTATACCCAAAGAGAATAAAACCCAGAAAGGGAAAGGGACTTGTGCTCAAGGTTGGCCTATAAAAAGTATTAAAATCATTTTATTCCCCTCAGATTTTCTTTTTATCACCTTTTTCTTATTTCATAAAATAGGTACCATCATTTCTAGTTCCTTACTTAAAACTTGTAACTTTTTATTTTGTAATAATTACAGACTTACAGGAAGTTGAAAAAATAGTACAGAGAGTCCCATGTACCCTTCATCCAGTTTTCCCCAGTGGTAAGGTCTTACATAACTGTAGTACAACTTCATAACCAAGATATTGACAATAGTATAGACTAGACTTTATTCAGTTTCACCAGATTTTACATGCATTCATTTGTGTATATGTAGGTCTACACAATTTTAGCACAGGTATAGATTTATGTACTTAACACCACAATCAAGATACAGAACTGTTCCATGAGCAAAAAGGAACTCCTTGTGTCTTCCCTTTATAGTCATACATATCCCACATCTTCTCTAGTCCCTGTCCCTGGCAACCATTAATCTGTTCCTTATTTCTATAATTCTGTTATTTCAATAATGTTATTAATGCAATCATAAAGTATATAACCTTTTGAGATTGGCTTTTTTCATTCACCATAATACCCTGAGGTACATCCAAGTGGTTATATCAATAGTTCCTTTTCATTGCAGAGTAGGATTCCAAGGTATGGATGATTTGTTTAACCATTTACACATTGCAGGAAATCTGGGTTGATTCCAGTTTTTGGCTATTAAAAATAAAGCTGCTATGAACATTTGTGTACAGGTTTTTGTGCCAACATAGATTTTCATTTCTCTGGAATAAATGTCTAGGAAGTGCAATTGCTGGGTCATATAGTAAGTATATGTTTATAAGAAATTTCTAAACTCTTTTCCAGAGTGGCTGTATCATTTTACATTTTTTTAGCCATTCTGATAAATCATTATCTTATTGTGGTCATAATTCACATTCCCTGATGACTTATGAAGTTCAACATCTTCTAATGTGCCTACTTGCCATCCATATATCCTCTTTAGTCAAATGTCCATGTCTTTTGCCTATTTTCTAGTTGGACTGTTTGTTTATTATTGAGTTTTGAGCACATTTTATATATCCCAGATTGATCAGATATGTGGTTTGCAAGTAATTTCTCTCAATTTGTAGCTTGTCTTTTCCTCTTCTTAAATATTTTACAGAACAAAAGGTTTTAATTTTGATGAAGTCCAATATATCAATTTTTTCCTTTTATGGATTGTGTTTTTGGGGTGAAGTCCAAGAACTTGTTGCCTAGCCCGAGATCCTGAAGATTTTTCTCCTATGACTTTTTTCTAAGTTTTGTAGTTATGTATTACATTTAAGTCCATGATACATTTTGAGTTAAATTGTATATAAAGATGAGAGATTTAGGTCAAGGTTCATTTTTTTGCCTGTAGGTTTCCAATTGCTCCAGCATAATTTGTTGAAAAGACTATCCCTCCTCCACTGAATTGCTTTTGCACTTTGTTGAAATCAGTTGGGCATATTCATGTGGGTCTATTTCTGGGTTCTCTCTTCTGTTCCATTGATCTATATGTCATTCTTTTGCCAATACTATCTTGATTACTACAGCTTTATAGTAAGTCTTGAAGCTGGGTAATGTGAGTCCTCCAACTTTTTCTTCTTCAAAATTGATTTAGCTTAATTAATTTTACACTGGACATTTTCATCTTTCCTATAGGGAAAGAAAAAGAATAGAGAAGAACTGGTTCTGTGGCGAATTATGGAAAATATAACATTGACATTCCACATGCCCTGTGGTAGTACTTTTCAAATGTTAGTATGCCTCAGAATCAGCCGGGTAGTTCATGCAGATTTCTGGGTTCTACCCCCAAAGACAGAGTTTGACCTCCAAGTGATTTTGATGGAGGTGGTTCTGGACTACACTTTGAAATTTGCAAAACAATATCTGGGGAGAAACAAGAAGAAAAAAAAATTGAAAACAATCTTTATTACTTTAATTTCTTGTATACAATAGTCCTGACTCTTCTGAAAACAGACTTATCATTTGTGGTTACACATGATAAGAATAAAGCAACTGAAATTTTTAAAGCATGATTTTTATTACATCCTAAATCCTAAATGTTTCTGGAAAAACACATTTATATTATAATGGAAATTCCTAGGCAGATAGGATCTCCTCAATGGGAATTCACTTCAGAGTCAAATATGCTAGAAACTCATCTGTTTGTTTAAAAAGGACGCCCACATAGCTTCAAGAGATAGGTATCTCAGAATACGTATTTTAGAGATCAAGAAGGAAGACATGAGACATGCCTCTGAATGGGCAAATAATAGAGGTGGGGTGCTATTGAGTCACCTACACTTCACACTAACCCTAGTGTATTTATTATTTACTTGTTCAGCATAAGCATCATAACTACAAAATAAAAATATGAAATACTCTTCTCACTTTAACTTACTCTAGGCAGTGAATGTATTTGAAAATGAAAATAAAGACTTCCAAGTTAAAAAATGGCAAAACAAACATTTAAAATACACTCCCAGACATTTTATTCCAAGATATCCCTTGCCAATGTACCTCCCATAGCCTTTTTAAAAAATAACTTTCATATTCTGCTTAAATCATCTTGCATATGCTCTTTGTAGGCCAGTTATAGGTAGAAGGGTTCAGTAAGATCTAATGAAACTTTTAGGAAGAAATCTTATGTTTATTACATGTGAAAAACTTATCCACTAGGATATAAAAAAAGCGGCTCCATTGTCTGCCTGCACATAAGTTATGTGCATTTTCAGGTCACATTTAGTACACAAATTGAAAAAAGTTTTTTACCCCACTTTGTCTCCTGCTTTATCCTAGAGAAGAAAGTTCTTGCATAAGTTCTTCCTTTTCTTGTTGTAACTCCTGCAAATGTTGTTGATTTTGCTCCAATCTGTCCTCCAACCACTGTAGAAGAGGCCCACTGACTGCTGACATCTGACTGCACAGATTCTTGGTAAACACTTCAATAGGAAAAACATACATGAGGTAACTGTGGAAAAGTACTGTCCACTAGCATGTTCCCACTCCACCACCAACAACCCAACCATGAGCACAGAAAGAAGGGGTTGGAGGAGGAAGTACAAAAGGTGTAATAAGTAGGACTGGTAAACAACTTTCTATGCCCAGCCAGGGAAAAGACCGAAGAGCTAAGCAAAGAAGATACTTATTCTGAGGCTATCGTGAACACCCCTGGAACCATAAGCCAGAGGGAGGCTTGGCTCTTTACTTCATTAGGCAAAAGGGCTAAGAGCCATGGAAAGGTTCTTTCCCTAGCCCCTCAGACACTCCCACACTGTAAACCACCATAACCTCCTAAAGAGCTAGAACTCTGCCTTCTGCAACTTGGTTTTCCACAGAGCCCTGTAGGAAAATTACTTATTAAATGTTATATATATTGAAGAAATAAATATATTAATTCAAGAGCTCTTCTTTTAAAATGAGAAAAAAACAGAGGGATGAAGAGTAAGGGAGTTATCGACTTTCATGCCTTACTGTGAATGTTCAGCTTCATGGCACTCTTTTAAAATAAATTCCACCTCATGGAAATATATTTTTCTCTCTCATAATATGTAACTCTTATTGAAATGACCACTATAACACTGTGAGGCATATCTTCTCAGATATATGTATACATATATGTGTATGCTTTTGAATAAAAACCATATTATTTTGGGTGTTAACTTTTCCCCCTACATAGCAATATATGATAGACATCTTTCTGCGTCAATAAAGATCTAGCTTTCCTTCTTAAGGGCTGCAGAATATTCATCTGAATGGATGGACCAATTTAATAAGTCCCCTATTGATGGACATCTCAGTGGCATCTAATTTTTTGCTATTATAAAGACTGTGATTAAGTGGAATTGCTAGACCTAAGTCCGTGTACATTTTAAAACCAATTATCCAGTATTTTCCAGATGGTACCAAATTATACCTCCAGGAATAGGGGCACTGTTCACTTCCCTTGCATCCTTACTTATCTCTCAGTTTAATCTTTGCCAAAAGAAAAGGTGAAAAACTGGTAATTTTATCTTAATCTGTACTTCTTTTAAAGATTATAATTAACATTTTAAATTTTTTGTAGGGGCCTATAAAAGTCTTGAATTTTTATTTAGTCAAACTTTTCTTTTGTGAGTTCAGATTTTCAGATTATACTTAGGCCATGACACCCCTAGAGTGTGAAAAATATTCTTTTATATTTTCCTCCTGTATTTTTTTACCTTTTAAAATGAGCTTTATTGGGATGTAATTTACAGATGATAAAATGAACCAAGTTAAAGTGTACAGTTCTATGAGTTTTGACAAATGTATACTCTGTGCTGTGGTTTGGATATTTGAACCTCCAAACCTCATGTTGAAATTTGATCCCCAATGTTGGAGGTGGGGCCTAATGGGAGGTATCTGTGTCATGAGGGCAGATCCCTCAGGAATGGCTTGGTGCCCTCCTCGTCGTGATGAGTGAGTTCCCGTTCTAATAGTCCTCATGGGAGCTGGTTGTTAAAAAGAACCTGGCACCTTCCCCTTCTCTCTCTTGCCATGTAATCTCTGTACATGCCAGCTCCCTTTCCCCTTCTGCCATGAGTAGAAGCAGCCTGAGGCCCTGACCATAAGCCAAGCAGATGCTGCCTCCATGCTTCTTGTATAGCTTGCAGAACTGTGAGACAAATAGACCTCTTTTCTTGATAAATTACCTAGCCTCAGGTATTACTATATAGTAAGCTAATGACTAGGACAGCCTGTGTAACAACTGCAAGTCAAGATACAGATCATTTCCACCACCCCAAAGAATCCCCTCTGCAGTTCCCTTTGTAGTTAAATACTCCTTCACCTCTGGCCCCAGGCAGCTACTGATCTACTTGCTGTCACCATACATTAGTTATTCTTGAATTCGGAACTCTAGAATATGCAGCCTTTTGAGTGATGCTTCTTTCACCTGGCATAATGTTCATGAGACTCATCCAGGTTGTTCATGTATCAGTAGTTTGTTCTTTTTGTTGCTGACTAGTATTTCATTGTATGGCTATATCACACTTTGTTTATCCATTCACCCACTGATGCACATTTGAGTTCTTTCCACCTTTTGGCTATTGTGAATAATGCTGCTATGAACATTTGTGTATAAGTTTTTATTTGAATAGCTGTTTCAATTCTTTTGGGTATATGCCTAGGAATGGAACCAGTGGGACATTTGGCAATTATAATTGCCAACTTCTTTCCCAAAGTGGTTGTACCATATTTAATAGTAAAAGTTTAAATACATCTGGAATTTATTTTTGTGTAGGGTATTAGGTAGGAATCTATTTTCCCCCAAATGGAAATAAAATGTAAGTCCATGTAGGTTAAGATGGTCTCTTTTGCTTTGCTCAGCACTATAGAGCAAAGTAGTGCCAGCAAAATAGGCACTCAAATGTTTCCTGAATGAATGAACTAACAACCAAATGAACTGTTCCAATACTACTTAGTGAATAATCCATCCTTTTTTACATTGATTTGAAGTAATACCTTTATTAAATATAAATTCTTATATATACATGGACCTGTCTCTGGGCTCTGTTTAGTTCCACTGATCTATTTGTCCATTTTGAACTATTACTTATACTTTTTAAATTACTGTAGCTTTAGAGTATGGTTATATGTATTAGTAACTTTTAATTCTTTGTCATGTTTTACCCCGGACAGAAATGATGGGACAGCCTGGGCATGGTGGCTCACACCTATAATCCCAGCACTCTGAGGGCTGAGGCAGGAGGATCACTTGAGGTCAGGAGTTTGAGACCAGCCTGAGCAAGCGTGAGACCCCATCTCTACTAAAAATAGAAAGAAATTAGCCAGGTGTGGCACATGCCTGTAGTCCCGGCTAGTCCGGAGGCTGAAGCAGGAGGATCCCTTGAGCCCAGGAGTTTGAGGCTGCTGTGAGCTAGGCTGACACCACGTCACTCTAGCCCGGGCAACAGAGCGAGACTGTCTCGAAAAACAAAAAACAAACAAACAAACAAAAAACAAAGAAAGAAATAAAAAAAAGAAAGTTTACTTTAAAAAAAAAAAGAAAGAAAAAGAAATGATGAGACAGACAGACCAAGCTATTTCTCCCTTTTTTTCTTTCTTCAAAAAGTAATTGCCTATAACACTTGAAAGCTTCCCACTTTGTCCTCACTGGTGACCTTGCCAGTAATAGGGAAAGATTGTACAGAATGACAAAAATGACCGGGGAGTCAGGGTTAGTCAGAAAAGTGTGGCTGGGGAGGTGTGTATGTTGGGGGAAAAGTGAGTTAGTATATTTATTGTATTGATATTTTCGTTCCTTTGCCTTGTATAGGAATTCCTTCTGTATTTATTGACATGACAGGATTTTCTCCCTCATGCCTTCGCTTCTATCTATCTATCTGTCTGTCCATCCATCTCTTTCAATTCTCACCACAATAGGCTGGTACTGGTGTGCTAGAACCAGCTCATCACTGGCTCACAAGGGCCAGTTATTTCAACTTTAGGAAATTGATGCCATGTTAGTTACTTGAAATCAGCCATTCTAGGGATACTATGCCATGGAAACTGGCAAACAGAACAAACCAGGGCTCTCCCTGTTGCTTGAGAACTGGTTGTTAAGCATGTGCCAGCACACCACTGAGTAGGTCTATCATAAAGCTCTTTCCTATCTTTCCTCCCTTCTTACTCTAGGTTGCATTTACAGCATTCATGGATCCCCAGGGTTCAAAAGAAATGTCGGGAGCAGGATCATAAAACTCTTGGGAAAGGAAACCCAAGGATAACTTGTATCCATCACTTCAATCAAACTAAATTTGCCTCTGTCAGCTGAGTATTTCAAGGATCACTGCCTATATTCAAGGAAAAAAAAATCTTACCTGAGCCATTATGGATCTTGGTTACTGAGTCCAGATGTGTAAGGCTAAAGGGATAAAATAGTTTAGGTTAGTAGCAAAATAGCACTGAAGGGAAAATAAAATGGTCATGGACTATAACAAAACAATTAACTGCATCAGATCTTTGCCAACTGGATTAGACAAATATGTATAATTTAAATTCCCATTATTATTAACTTTTTAATGATTTGAGGTATATGATTTTATTCAAAAATTCAAGAGATAATTCAAAGAGATAATTTTGAAATTACTGTCTCTCACCAAAGCCTTGACATAGTATGCATTTATTGAGCAAGACCTAGTGTTTGGCAGGCAACAGGACTACTAAGATGTTGTGGTTTATCTTGTTTTCACAACCAAAGAAGAAAGTGTCTTTGCCCTTGAAGGATCCAAAGTATAGCAGAAGAAAAACAAATATTAAAGAGATTGTTATCATACAATATGATTGGACACTGCTATAAAGCTTTCTCCCAGAGAGGTGAAAGGAAAGGGGGCTCAAAAGTTGCTAAAGATAAAAGGAAAGAAGAGGGTCTCTACCTGTGGATCTTCCTATATGCATCCTGCTCCTCCTGGCACAGGATCTTGGGCAGCTCTACTGCTGATTCAAGGCACACTTTCCCAATGGTGACATGAGGTACAATATGGATTGGGATTTCAATTCTCTCATACCTGCAAGGCAATCAGTTCATGTCAGTTTTTAAACCCTGAGTTGTCATAATCAGAAGTTCTCTGTAGTTTTAATTGAATCTTTGGGATACAGCATACTTCAAAGATTAAGTGTTCTTATAATTCATTTAATGGGTCAACTTCAAAGTGGACAGAGTTCAAACTGGCATCATCTGGGGAGAAAATTGGAAGCCTCTTTGCAGAGCTAATACTCCCATAGAGAATCTAAGGCCACTTCTGTTAACAGAAGCTTTGGGAGTTCAAGGTCCTTATGTCTGCTCCCAAGACAAGGGGAATAGCTAATTAATATTATTTTCAGTTAGGAAGCTGCCAGTGAGGTTGAACAAATTAATCCCAAGCTCTGAAGAAGAGGCATCACAAAAGTCTAGAGAAGAGGCATTGCAGACTCTTCAATGACTCTATCAGATTCATTTTGTAGATGGGATTACTCAAATAAATGCTCATTTGTTCTAACTAAGTGCTCACCAGTGATCTCCACTTCCCATTCTCTCTCCTGGGGGGAAATAGGTAAGAAATTCATAAATATTTGCTTTTTCATGCTATAATGGGAGAAACAGATATGTTTGTTTCTAAGGCCAACCAACCTACCTTTACCCACTTCTTACCTTAATATACCTAAATTCTACCTAACGCTGAGTTCAGTGGCGAATCCAGGTTGAGGGCCCCTGGCACCATGGGGCCGGCCCCATTGGTCATGGTGGTAAAGCAGTATAAGATCTAGTTCCCCATTCTTTCTTCCCCACCAGAGTATGTCTTGGCCCCATACCACAACCTAGATGGAACACAAATGATAGGGAATTACAAGCACCCCTTCCCCCTCTCCACACCCAAGCAGTCAGGGAAGAATTCATGAAAGAATATGCCATAGTTGTTGGTGATTTTCAAAAGGCCCCTTGGAGTAACAAAAAGACCAGCCCATACATGGACTGGAAGCCCAACTTTGAATCATCTCAATTCCTAATTGGATTAAAGTGATCCAGTAGTTCTGCTACCAGTTAGGACATAGAAGATCATTAAAGACCATTGCTCCCACCATAACAATAAGAAAACAACAGATAAAACAAAAAGTATAGATTAAAGAAAAGACACCAGAGAGCTGTGGATACAAAGATAAGTCTAAATGACTATGTTCCAGAGAGAGACAATGAGTAAATGAGTAGAGACCAGTGGCCACTCTTCTCCCAGGGGCATCTGTCCTGTCTGGAAGTATAGTAAGGTAAAGGATGGAGCTTGTCATATAAAGATGAACTTTGCTAGGGTAAAGAGAAACCAGTGGGGCTTATAACAATCATGTGGGCTGATGTGACAGACTGAAATCTGTAGAAGCCCACAACATAGAGTTAGTTCTCCTCTCCTGCTGACTTTACCCTGTAGGACTTGCTAAGAATATGGAGGCATAAGAAGGTGGGACTCAAGCTGAAAACAGAGAGATCTTCATTATTTCATGTTTCTTAGATCTAAAATTCCTAGTAGGAAGTGGGAAATGGAATACTTATAGGGAAGATCTCCCCTGTGCTCAAAGCCTGGCAAACCAAAGTAAAACAGAGAATAACTAACGTAGCAACAGAGCTGACGCAGGTAGCTTCTGGCTGGATAGAAGTACTAAGATTTTTATCCTGGCTGCTTGATACAGGAATGGGCATGCTTTCTCCCTGGAAATAATAATATTTAGTCCAATATATATGGTTCTTTTTAATAAATCTGCCATGTAATATTTTAAAGGATGAGACATGTGAAGAAACAAGAAAATGTGACATGATCAAAACAAAAGGTTGATAGAGAAAGGCCTACAGATGACACAGATATTGGAATTAATAGAAAGGAACTTTAGAGTAACTATTAAAATATGTAAAAAATAAAAAAATAGAGGGGAAGATGGGCAAAATCGATGAAAAAATGGAGAAAATATCTCTTTGAGATCCTGCTTTGAATTGTCTTGGATATATATCCAGAAGTGGGATTGGTGGATCATATGGTAGATCTATTTTTAATTTTTAAAAGAAACTTCATATTGTTTTTCATAAAGGTTGCACTATTTTACAATCTCAGCAATAATGCATAAGGGTTCCAACTCCTCCAAATCCCTACCAACATTTGTCATTTTCTGATTTTTTAAAATAGTAGTCATCATAATGGGTGTGAGGTGATATCTCATTGGGTTTTGATTTGCATTTCTCTGATGACCACTGATGTCAAGCATTTTTACATACGCTTGTTGGCCATTTGCATATCATCTTTGGAGAAATGTGTATTCAAGTCTTGCCTACTTTTAAATCAAGTTCTTTTTTCTTTATTGAGATGTAGCAGTTCTTTTTATGTTCCAGATATCAACCCCTTATCAGATACATGATTTATAAATATTTTCCCATTCCATAGGTTGCATTTTCACTCAGTTGTTTCCTTTGATGCAAAGAAGTTTTTAAGTTTTATGTAGTCCAATTTGTCTATTTTTGCTTTTGTTGGCTGTGCTTTTAGTGTCATATCCAAGAAGTCATTGCCAAATCTAATATCGTGAAGATTTCTCCCTATGTTTCCTTCTAGGAGTTTAGCAGTTTTAGGTCTTATGTTTAGGTCTTTAATCCATCTTGAGTTAATTTGTGTATGTGGTGTAAGATAAAGGTCCAACTTCTTTCTTTTGCATGTGGATATCCAGTTTTTCCAACATCATTTATTGAAGAGACTGTCTTTTCCCCATCTAGTGGTCTTGACACCCTTGTTGAAGTTTGTTTGACCATATATGCGAGAATTTAATTCTGGACTCACCATTTTGTTCCATTGGTTTATGTCTGTCTTTATGCTAGTACCACACTTTAGCTTTGTAGTTACTTTTGAAATCGGGCAACGTAAATTGTCCAGCTTTGTTCTTTTTCAAAATTGTTTTGCCTATTTGGGATGCCTTAAGATTCTCTATGAACTTTAGGATGGATTTTTCTATTTTTTCAAAAAAAAAGGTGCCGCTGGGATTTTGATAGTGATTGCATTAAATCTGTAGATAGCTTTGGGTAGTATAGTATCTTAACAATATTAAGTTATCCAATCCATGAACTTGGGATGTCTTTCCATTTATATATGTCTTTATTTCAGCAATATTAATTTTATGCATAAGTATTTTGTTATTTTTGATATTATTATAAATGAGATTTTACTTTCCTTTTCTGATTATTCATCATTAGTGCATGGAAATAAAACTGATTTTTGTGTGTTGATTTTTGTTATCTTGCCACTTTGCTGAATTCATTTATTAGTTCTAACAGTTTTTATTGTGGGTTTTCTACATGTAAGATCATGCCATTTGTGAACAGAGATAATTCTACATCTTCTTTTCCAATTTGGATGCTTTTTATTTCTTTTTCTTGCCTAATTGTTCTGGGTAGGAATTCCAGTCCTGTGTTGAATGCTTATTTTTAAATTGAGGTGTGTGTCTTTTTATTGTTGAGTTGTAAGAATTCTATACATATTCTGGATGCCATACTATTATCATATACATAATCCGCCCTTATCCTCAGTTTTACTTTCCATGGTTTCGGTTCCCTGCAGTCAACCATGATCCAAAAATATTAAATGGAAAATTCCAGAAATAAACAATTCATAAATTTTAAATTTAGAACAATTCTGAATAGTGTGATAAAATCTCGCGCTGTCCCACTCCAACCTGCCGGGGACACGAATCACTCCTTTGTCTATCATATTCATGCTCTATATGCTACCTGCCCATTAGTCACTTAGCAGCTATTTGGTTATCAGATCAACTGTCAGAGTATTCTAGTACTTATGTTCAAGTAACCCTCATTTTATTTAATAATGGCCTCAGGACACAAGATAGTGATGCTAGCAGTTCAGATATGCTAAAGAGAAGCCATAAAGTGCTTCCTTTAAATGAAAAGGTGAAATTTTTTGACTTAATTGGGAAATAGAAAATATATGCTGAGGTTGCTAAGATCTATCTATTGTAAGAATGAATCTTCTATTCTTGAAATTGTGAACAGTATATTGTTATATACACTTTCAATTTTATTATTATTGTTGTTAATCCCTTATTATGCCTAATTTATAAATTAAACTTTATCAGAGGTATGTATGTATTGGACAAAACATGGTGTAATAGGGATCAGTACTATCCATGGTTTTTAGTAAGCCACTGGGGATCTTGGAATATATCCCCTAAAGATAAGGGGGGACTGCTTTATATAATTTGTAACTATTTTCCCTATTCCGTAGGCTATTTCTTCACCTTCTTGATAATGTCCTTTGATGTACAAACATTTTTATCAAGTCCAATTTATCTGTTTTTTCTTTTGTGCCTTGTGTATTTGGTATCGTATCAAAGAAACCGCCAAATTCAAGGTTGTGAAGATTTACTCCTATGTCTTCTTCTAAGGGTTTTATTGTTTTAGCTCTTCTATTTATGTCATTGATCCATTCTAAGTTAATTTTTGTATATTGGGTGAGTTAGGGGTCCAAATTCATTCTTTTGCATGTGGATATCCGGTTGTCTCACCCCCCATTTGTTGAATTTCCTTTTCTTTACCTGTTGAATTATCTTGGTACACTTACTGAAAATCATTTGAGGCCGGGCGTGGTGGCTCACGCCTGTAATCCTAGCTCTCTGGGAGGCCGAGGCAGGTGGATTGTTTGAGCTCAGGAGTTCGAAACCAGCCTGAGCAAGAGCGAGACCCCATCTCTACTAAAAATAGAAAGAAATTAATCAGACAACTAAAAATACATAGAAAAAACTAGCCGGGCATGGTGGCACATGCCTGTAGTCCCAGCTACTCGGGAGGCTGAGGCAGGAAGATCACTTGAGCCCAGGAGTTTGAGGTTGCTGTGAGCTAAGATGATGCCACGGCACTCTAGCCTGGGCAACAGAGTGAGACTCTGTCTCAAAAAAAAAAAAAAAAAAAGAAAGAAAGAAAGAAAATCATTTGACTATAAATGTATAGGTTTATTTATGGACTCTCAATTCTATTCCATTGATTTATATA